TGCTGATGCCCCAAAGAACAATATTAGGATTTCAAAATGGCTAAATTTGACTTCCAGGCCTTAGATTCCCCATCCTGGGGATGGGAAACAAGGTAGGTTTCCATCCAAAACAGCTGACCATTTATGATCTAATTAATTATTTATTTGATCTTTGCCACAGTGAGCTTTGCCATTAGCATTTTCTCCACTGGGCAGCAAAGTAGTTTGGGCTGACATCTGCTTATTGAGCTTCTCATGGGCTGCATTCAGTGGATCTCTGAAGTTTTGCAAGCCAGAGGTGTAGCTAATGTTGTGTGAGAGACATGAGGTAATTGTCATAGTGCTAGCATTAATAGTATGGCCTGTACACAGTTATTTTATAGTGGCAAAATATGTGTGCCCATGCAAGTGTGCATTGAGAGTGAAGTATGAAAGCAGATTTTCATATTAGCAATAATACTGTGGTGACTTAAGAGTAAACAGAAAGCTTACACTAACTCTTAAGCTGATTTAAACGTGCACATATGTCACTAAATATCTGAATTGATTTCACCTACAGCAGTGATGGCAAACCTTTTAGAGACCAAGTGCCCAAACTACAACCCAAAACCCACTTATTTATCACAAAGTGCCAACACTGCAATAAAACCTGAATATGATGCTGCAGATTCAAATATGCCAGGGGGACAGCACGCCATTAAAATAATCTCAGTCTCTTAATTAGAACATCTCTTTGATAAATCTTAGATATTAAATTTCAATTTTTCATATGAAAACTCAAAGCTAAAATCTTGTGTTAATAAAAACAAATGTATTAAAACTCACAGCCAGTCCAAGCAAATCTATATCTATGTATCTATATCTATATCCATCCTTGGCAGTGCACTGACTGGCCATGCGAAAGCTCGGATGAGTTGCAACTAATGAGACATGGCTTGTGACATCATCGCCTGGCACCACTATTCCTTTCTGAGCATGCACATGGCCCCTGTGTGCGCCGATATCCGATGCTTGGCTGCTGGGGTGATGCTGGGGCGACTTGGCTCGTGTGCTGACAGAGAGGGCTCTGCGTGCCCACTGCAGCACACATGCCATAGGCTGGCCACCACAGACCTAGAGAGAAGCTTTATGTGTTGAGGTGATGAGAGAATCATGTCTCTGGTGTTAGATCTTGTGACAGCTTGTTCATATGCACTGGATTCTACAAGTTACCAACTGATCAATTTGTGTCTGTGAACTTAAATTACTCATATGAACTTAGATACTTGAAATGTGGGGGATTTTCTTTGACTGAGAGTGTATGACCCCTCTTTAGAAATGCTCCATGTGCTGTACGCCAATGAGAGACATGAGCTTAGTGATTTGGGGAATGAAGTAGTTAAAAGACAATGCTGCAGAAAAAATGGTTGGCCAGAAAATGCCTGGCCAGAAAATGTTTGTTCACACTATTTCCAGATGTCATTCTGTGCTGCCTGCATGCTTGAGTCTCATGTTTGATCTTCTTTTTGAACTTTATTGGCAAGTGTGAACAACTTGTAGGCCAAAACGCCTGAGGCAGGGGCACAGTTCCCATAATCCCTCACTGTTGGCCATACTGGCTTGGGCGGATGGAAGCTGTAGGTTAGAACATCTGAAGAGCCATACGTTGTCCACTACTAGCACTCGCAATTGTCCATTTTTAATATAAACAGGAAAAAACAGCAACATCAAGTATGGTTGAGCTCTTACTGACATGGGAAACCTGCTTCTAGATGCTACCATTTCATATTGCAGGCAGGAGCAACTCCATATAGAAGAATTCTCACTACATAAGATGCCAGAAAAAGGGTTTCTAGCTTCCCTCCATGCCATGCTATTTTTCATGATTGGATTGTGCGTGCATGTGTTTGGTTTTGGTTTTAAATATGGAAGAGCATCTTCAGTTGACATGAGCTCTCGTCAGTTCGAAGCAGTATAACCCAGACACAGGTTTGCCACAGGTTTAAGAAAAGAGCAGGCCAAAGCTTATGGGTAAAGAAAGCTGCAGCTGTGATAGAGACTGTTTGCTATCCGTTGTGGGTAAAAATTGGTTATTTCTAAGCACTGGGTCCCAACTAGGCCATGTAGTGCCGGCTGGTTGCCATAGCAACACCCCTCACACTGCCATGTCAGTTTCCAAGGTGGGGTCAGGTGCCTGTGGCATTAGCTTGACACATCTCAGGTTCCTGACGCAGGCACAGTTATTTTGGGATCAGGTGCCATGCCGCTGCACTGCATTATTGCCTCCTGCTGGGCACTGCCGAGGCTGTTGGTACTGTGCTCATTACTGAGAATGGGTCTGCCCTTTTCTGTCCTTAAAACTTGCAAGCTCACTTGTGACATATTTCTGCATATGCCCACTTGTCTGCATTGGCATGCATGAATCCATGCACTCAGGGCCAAGCCCAAGACTAGGTGGGATGTGGCAGCCACCTCAGAGGCAGCAGATGCTGGGGGCAGGATGCGACATGGAGGTGCTGGAGCACACAGCTATCTGTAAGCTGCTCAGCCTGGCCTGTGAGCTCACAAGCTAGTCTGCTGCCCTGAGCTGCAGTGGAGGATGCTGTCCCATCCATCATCAGTGTTGAAGCCAAGTTCATTTCTGTACATGCTGCCCTTCCCTCAGTTCTATCTTGTCCTTTGCCTCAAGCAGCAGTGTCTTGGGGTAGCCCTGTAGAACTAAACAGACAATGGGATGATGAAGGTGTATCTCATGCCCCTAATGTTGAAGCTAGGCAAATTTGGCCCTGTTTGATTTTTGTTTTTATTTGCGCATATTCTCTCTCTCTCTCTCTCTCTCTCTCTCTCTCTCTCTCTCTCTCTCTCTCTCTCTCTCTCTCTCTCTCTCACACACACACACACACACACACAGACACACACACAGCAAATTCAGATTTCAAGGCATTGTACAGTAAAAGCTAGTATTAAAGCTATTTAGATGGGAAGATTATTAGGAACCCTATTTGAATTACTCTTACATCTGGGTTAGTTCACATAGCCATGCTCATCATTTGATGAACTTCACGATCTAATGATTTGTGTATGAATGGGACCATCACAGGTAGGACTGGGGAAGGAAAAGAGCCCATGGCCGCTCTTTTACTTTGTCCTGTATGTGCTGCTTGTGTACCATCTCATTTCCCTAATTAGCCATGTCAGGTGCAGGCTGCTCTCTTGTCTGTCCCTGATGAGACAGATGTGTGACAGGGTGGCTTCCAAACCATCCCACAACCCAACGCTTCTTCTAGGGTTAAGTGGTGGTGTGAAAGCGACTTCTACTGCTCATGTTGGTCAAGGTCAGAAATAAGGCAGTGTGCATCCAGCCTATATGGTATAGGGAAAGGAAGCTGCCATGACTTCTTTTCTTTTCTTTTCTTTTCTTTTCTTTTCTTTTCTTTTCTTTTCTTTTTCACATCCCATGTTCTCTTTCAGAGTGACCTACATCACAGGGTGGCCAAAAGAGGAAGAGAAGAGCTATCTGTCTTACCCTGTCCACCTTGAAGGGATGTAATAAATGCCAGTAAATAAATTTAGTCATCAGCGCTTGCTTCACACAAGCCTGTATATTGTTAGATTTCATTATATTTGACGTGTAGTACCTTGTTTTTTGAGCTGACTCTGTTAAAATAAACATGGGGACTACAAGGTAATGTCTTACAGCTTCTCGGTATTAGGCTTTTAACCCAGAATTTTACCAAGGCTTTTGCTTCTGGATTTGTTGCAGGATTAAGGTGATCTCTTTCTCCCCACCCTCTGGATTTTTCTTTCTCTGCCTTTGCTTATGTTCCAATATACAACCATAAGGTGACACTGCAGTATAGTGGAATTGTAAAAATATAAGACCATTTTATAGCATTTTAAGGCATGCTAGTCCTTTAAAAGCTCATTATTGACTTAAAACAAGTTGCAGAAATGCTCAGAAAGCATGGAAGATGCCCTGATGGAAAGCTTACTGTGGGTGAGGAATCAGGGGAGCACAATAAATGTCTTGTCTAGAAGCCCTGTATAAAATGTGAATGGCTTCTGAAGGAGGTGAGATTAGCTGGTGAAGGAGCTATGAGATACTGCTCAGTGCTAGTGGCAAGCTAAGAACAATAGAGCCCCTGCCTTGAAACGTGGTCCTTTAACTGTGTTGATCATCCCTATATTACAAAGTGGAGAAGGTAATTTTACTCAGAGGTGAGAGGGAAGAATCAAGGATGGTGTAATTTTTTCACCCCCCTACTCACTTTGAATGCTGGTCTTATGTGACATGACATTGTGACATGACATTGTCTACAAAGTTCACAGTTGAAAACTGCAATCGAGTTACAAAAAAAAATCATTAAAAATCTCATAATGTTTTAAGTAAGTTTACAATTTTATGCTGGGCTGCATTCATAGCTATCCTGGGCTGCATGCAGCCCACAGGCTGCGGGTTGGACACCTCTACTTTAAAACATTCCAGCATTTAAAAAACTTTTAAAATTCTGACATGCAAAAATTTAAAACCATTCAAATATCTAAAACAATTCCAATAAAACTAGACCTTGTAACATTGCCAATATAATCCATCATATGCCATTAAGTGCCAATGAATTCCAGGAAATAAAGGGCAGTTTTAACTTGACGCCAAAAAGATGACAGTGTTGGCACCAGGTAGGTCTTAGTGGGGAGATCATTCCATAGTTGAAATCAGGTTGCAAGTGGGACTAGGAACAAGGCATCCTGAGCTTCAGTCTGGAGCTTCTGGACTCTTGGGGAACTTGAGCATGCCCAATTCTCCAATCCCTAGCCATGGGTGCTTTTGAGCATGTCCAGACTGCCTTTGTCTCAACACGTAGGAACCCTCCTGGTAATTACGGGGAAAGGCTCCCAGGTCAACGGGTGTGACTTCCTCTGGAAACGATCTGCTTCTGCCTTGAAAAGAAAGCATAGCTCTGCCTTCGATGTTATGTATACTTTGGACTACCATTCAAGATCTGTCTGTGTATGCACTGACTGAGCCTGTCCTTTCCCGGCAGATCCCTACTCTATTGCAGGCAGTGATGGCAGCATCTCTGCCTCAGTGGCCTCAGTCCAGCCACAGGCATCCAGCAGCTCGGCTCCCAGCTCCCCTGCTTCCCGACATTCGGTCAGCACCCTCAAGAAATGGCTGACCAACCCTGTGCGCAAGCTAAGTGCTGGTGGGCTACCTCGGGGCGAACGCCCACTCAGGAAAACAGAGGGCCGGACTCGGCGACAAGGGCGTCAGGAGGATCGCAAGAGCATCGACCTGGGCCTTCTGGGCCAAGCAGAAGGGCCACTTCCTGCCCCACAGGAGCCAGTTAGCACGGTGAGTGCAAAGGACTTGTGCAGTTAGGGACCATCTGGTGACTCACAGTCCCCTGCAGGTTGGTTTATGCCGTCTTGGCCACAGAATGCCACAAAACTGTGAACACGGATTTGCAGAGTTAGGGCTTTCCTGCAGAAAGCATTTATCATGTCTTGTCGTTTCTTACTCATGGTTGTCTAAAGGTTCTGTGTCTAAGGAACATTTTCCATGAGGGTTTTTTTTTTTTTTTAAGAGCAGGGAAAATTTTGACATTGAATTTGAAAGGTAAAATGTGCAATTTTTTCTCATGTATTTGCACTACTACAGCACCACCTAGAAGTTCCATAGTTCCAGAAAAAAGAAGGAAATGCCCTTTGTGTAATGCTCAGATCTCCCTTCTCTGACAAACCAAAAGTAGATATTGCGAATTAACTGCTCTTAGAGGCCACCTAGTTCAACTTCCTGCCACAAGGCAGCACTAGCCAATTACCAGCCCCATACAGATCAGTCTATGTAGTCTCAACACAAGTGTGCTCATAGAGTAAATATCTAGAGATGACTTGAAGAAGCAAGCCAAGCAACATACTGCAGGAGAAAGCTGCTCTCACCACAACCACACACTCATAATCTGAATGAGGGGAAGAATTTCAAATGGAAACTTTACTAAAGCCAAGGGGTTTAGAGGAAGGCAACAAAATGATCCAGGGTTTAGAAACACTGCTCTATGAGGAGAGGCTGAGAGAACTGGGTATGTTCAGCCTTGAGAAGAGAAGATTGAGATGGATCATGATATCACTCTATAAATACCTCAATGGCTGTTGCAAAGAGGAAGGTCAAGATCTCTTCTCACTGATATCAGAGTGTGAGACAAGGAATAATCAACTCAAGTTGTGACAATTCAGATTCAGGAAAAGATTCCTCACTGTCAGAGCAATATGACAGTGGAACCAGTTGCCTAGAGAGTTGGTGGGCCCTCTCACCCTAGAGACATTCAGAAGGAAACTGGACAGCCATCTGAGTGGGATGGTGTAAACTGGTGTCCTGCAACAGCAGGCAGTTGGACCTGATGGCCTTCTTGGCCCCTTCCAACTCCACTGTTCTATGATTTCATTGGTCATCCCAAGGGATACGGACAGGATACATCTCTGCACCACCCAAAATTCTCTCTCCTTTCATTTTGTTCCCAAGAAAGTAAGGAAAACAAATATGTAGGATTATATTTTTTCAAAAGAGAACAGGTGGGGTTGTCTTTTCTCATTGAAGTAGATCATAATTGTAGCATCTGAGCAATCCTTGCTCCCACAGCAACTGAGTTTTCCCTGAAACATCCCATCTTCTAATTTTGTTAGCCCTTCCTTCTTCCCTTCACTGCTTTTCTGTGGCGATGTTAGTGAATTCCATTTTTACATGGAGCCTTATTGGCAACATGAAAGAATGTTCTGGAAGGCTTTGTTTGCACCATGACCCTGGGAGCACTATTTTAGGTGTCTGAAGGCTCTGTAGAGACTTAAAATAGAACCCCCAAGCCCACAATGTATGTCATAGAACACTCCTATAGGTTGATCCCATACTGTCTGAAATAGGGGAGTGGGGACCCTAAGTAGGCCTCTGACCCTGTGCATGTGTGGCAGGGACTAAAGTATCATGAAGCCCCTGAAACTGCTGCAGCATCCTAGATGTAGATGCAGACCTGGATATTCTGAATTTACATGATACTGGGTCACATACTAGAAACTGGATTAATCCATTGGGGTGGGACTAGCACTGGCTTTGGGAGGACTGTTTTTAGACTGGCATCATCTGGTTCCACCCACTTCTGGGTCCCTTTGCATTCCCACAGGTTAGAGACCGCTTTCTGTACTGCTAGTACAACATAAATGCCTGGTAGTTGTAGAGGAATCATTGTGACTTAAGATGGGTAACTTGGGACACCAGGCTACAATTGACTTTTGTCCACGGTGCCCATGAGGGCATTTGTAGATTTGTTGTCTGTCCCCTCCTCCCTCCCCCTCTCTGTCTTTAGGAAAAGATTGTGTTTTCTTCCATCCCTGTATTATATGTTGTTAATCTCTGTGTTGCGGATTTTCTCTGACACAGTCTGATTTCCTCCCTCAAGTCAGGACAAATGAATAGAATAAGAAGCACACTTGTTTTCTCATGTAATTCAAAGGTTCTGCTGATATCCTGGGTCCCATACAATAAAAGGGTCTAAAAGTAATCGAAAGAGCTGCTTTCTCCCATACAAGCCTGTCTGTATATTGAAATCTTCAACAGGGTCCTTGTTGCATGTCCCAATAACCCATACATCTGGTTGGGACAGGATAGCCAAAATCCATCAAAGGAGGATGCAGGTTTCCTGCACCTTTTCATACCTGTATACAAAAGTGAATTTCAGCTGGTGTAGTTTTCATGATTAACTACATCACCTGAAACATCTTCTTCTACACCTGCTGAAATACTTTTTTCTGCATGGCTATGAAATGTGCAAGAACCTTATCTGCGGTGGCGCCCCATCTGTGGAATGCGCTCCCCAGAGAGGTCTGCCTGGTGCCGTCGTTATTTGTGTTTCGGCGCCAGGCCAAGACCTTTTTATTTAAACAGTATTTTAATAATCTTTAATATTTATAGTTTTAATTATGCAGCCAGTGTGTTTCCAAGTTTTAATTGTAATTGTAATTTTATTTGTTTGTTTATTTGTGTTGTGAGCCATCCCGAGGCTGTGTAGCAATGGGGACGGCATATAAAAACTTTAAATAAATAAATAAATAATTTTGGCTAGCTTAGGCTGGGACTAAAAAGAAGGCCTTTTTGGGTGGCTACACTCTGCCTTTGGACCTCTGTCCTAGGGGGAATGTACCTTGCTATCTCTTTTTTAGCCCCTTCACTTCTTTTCAGGATGGGCTTTCTGTTAAGCGTATTAATCTGCTTGGAAGCTGTCTTGATTGTTATACTGGATTTCTTTTGGCAACTGTTTTATGCTCAGCTGCTTCAAACTTTTTGCAATATTTTAAGACAATGCTTTTCTTATTTTACTGTTTTAATAATAAACAGGGTAACAAGATTATTACTCTCCTTGAATCTTTTTTGAGGAACAAGAAGATAAAATGAGTTTTACCATCTTTACTTTTATTAAAACACACATGCATATCTGAAAACACTCCTGTTCACTCCCCCTGAAAAATGTCTAATGTTTATCAGACTAAAGTCTATTCTGCTTGCCTGTTATCACCCCCACTGTGCCTTTATGCTTCAAAAATTCAAGGAACTTGAAGATTCAAATAGCAGAAACACAATTTCTGTGTGTTTCTAATTTAAGCCTAATTTAAGCAATTCCCTTGATTTATATATTTAACTCTGGTTGAAAGATTTGAGTAGATCCATTGGAGAGGCTGGATTTTCAGAAAAGGCCCAGAGAAGGCAGAGTAAATACCTTCCTAAATCATTATTTAAAGCTAGAAGTTTTGTTAATATTCGTATTTATTTAAGCCTTTGTACCCTGCTTTTTGCTATAAAATAGAGAGGGAGTTCCACAATGTAGGTGCTTCAACAGAACTTCATAGTTCTGGATCTGGCTCAGTAACTAGGCTGATATCTCCTTTCCAGTGATACAAAAGTCCATCTCTCCTAGGCCTTGTCTAGGACACTTTCCAGTTTCCAAGCCCAGCTGGAGGGAAAATAAATTAAAATGAATGGGCAGTTGCAAGGAAGTAGAATTGGGGAGTAGAAGAGAAAATTACCGCATCCACCAAATCTGCCAAGTTACAAGTGAAACACAGAGTTGGGATCCCTTTGCCTTAAAAAGAAAAAAGCCACTGGAATTTTTTATACAGTGCTTTGTATGCAATGCTTAGTGCAGACTTTCTCAACCTCATACCCTCTGGATGTGCTGGATGACCACTGACCAATGTCAGTGTCAATGACCGTGCTGTACTTTCTGCTGAAAGATGCAGAAAGTACAACAAACATGATTTAGGAGCTGGAGCAATTCCCCTATAATATGTGGGACTGCTTAGTTTAGAAAAGAGATAAGGGAGCCCATGATAAAGGCATAAAAATTATCCATGGTTGATAGGGAGAAAGAAGATACGGAGACATTTTTCTTCCTCCTTTATACTAAAAACTGGGGCCATCATATTAATCTGATTGGTGGAAGATTCAAACAATTAAAGTATTTAATTGCACAGTGCATAGTACTATTTATTTTTTTTATTTATTAAAACATTTCTATGCCGCCCCATGCCAATTGAAATTCACATGCCTATATGAAATTCACATTCCACAAGATATAGTGATGGCCATCAACCTGGATGGACAATTCCTGGAAGCCTATCAGTGACCACTAGTTCTGATGGCTCTGTATGACCTCCAGTATCACAGGCTATATGCCAATGTACACAGTTGCAGGGAAATGTAGGAAGGAGGGTGCTGTTGCCATCACATCCTGCTTCTGGGTTTCACACAGAGATCTGGCTGGCCACTGTGGTCTACACTAGATGCTGGACTAGGTGAACCTTTTCTCTGATGCAGCATGATTCCTCTTCTGTTCTTTCCCTTGTATTAAAGGAAGGCAATGCTCATCTCCCAGACCTTTCCTTGCTCTCCAGCCTGCTAGAAGGAAATGGCTCAGGAAAACCCACCCAGGTAAGCTGAGAAACAGCAGAAGTGGCAAGGTTGCCTTGCACTGTATATGTGGCAGGGTTTGGGGCAACAATCCTCCATGGGATAAAGTGGCTGTCAGCACATCACAAAGGTCTAGACCTTGGCATGAATGGACAGCTGCTTCTGGATTTACCTCTGTGCCCAGCCAGTGGGCTGGGTGCTTCTTAGTAACCTTTTTTAATGAGTGGATGTGGCTAAATCCATCTCTAGACTAGAGTGAAATGCATCTAAACAAATTCTTTTATATATATGTAACACCCAGGGCACACTGATGGATGTTTAGGTAGATTTAGAAAAACAAACTTATGCAGAATTTGGAGAGCTTGTAATAGTGTTTGGTCATATGCATTTGATCTCATGTTGTAAGCCGCCCCGAGGTTTCGGCAAGGGGCAGCATAGAAATGTTATAATAATAATAATAATAATAATAATAATAATGTTTGTATAAAGCCCACTGATTGCAACAGGTTTGTTTGTACCTACTTTTCTGTGTCTAAGACTGGGCTGTTAATATTTTGTTATCTTGAAATTTTAGCATGATTTTAAGATATGTGTTTTAAGTGCTATGCAACATGAGACATTAAAAGCAGAGATAACAGCAAGATGGAAAAAGCTGGATGTTCTGACAGATACTGTAAAAAAAATGTGACCTAGTTAATGAAACTAGTTAATACTCGTTTAAGCCCCATTGCATTCAATGGGACTTGAGAAGGTATGGATAGGATTGGATGTAATTTAATATGAATTGGAAAATGAAGGATGATATCTAGCAGCTATGGAAACAAATTACTTTTATATTTTCGTTTAGAAGTGATATAAGGATTTTCAAATAATATTCTATTTCTTCACAATTCCATAAATCAATATCATTTTGTTTCTTTCCATTGTAGATATGATATGTGTGGCTAGAGGCATATCTGTGGAATTAATTATTCTGATAACCTCTATAGGAAATGTTAATTATCTCTTTTAAACTTTTCTTTATTAAAGTTGAATGAAAACAAAGCAAATAGAAAATAAGATACTTTTAAATTATTTTAGTTTTATATGCATTTTCCTATTGTATAGGTGTAAAAAGTATTAATGCAAAATGTGAACAAAATTTCCCATTGAAATGGGAAATTAAATTTTAAAAAAGGAAAACGTCTAATATGGGAGCCATGTATAGCTGTTGAACAGTATATAAAAGCAATAAAATGATTTGGAATGTTTCCCACAAAATTAGCTTTGGCTCTGTTTTGGGCACTTCGGTAGCAACATGGAAAGCAGGATGTCTGCACCAAGTGGGAAAGTGTCCTTGTGTCTCTGAGCATCTCCCTCCACTGATCTGTCAGAGCTAAGTGAGCTTGGGGAAGATGTGAGCCTGGAGGACTACCCTTTCTTGGCTTAAGCAAAAGGATGTGATGCATACCTGGGCCTCTCTCTCCCGTTCCCTTTCATTTGCTCATTGACAAAAATTGTAAAATGCTACGGGTTCTGTTCTCACATGGCAGGGTCCTGACCCCTCTCTGCTCCCCAGTGATCCCCAAAGCCCTGGCCCCCCCGTGGAACCTGTGGTGCAGCCCCCAGCCTCTGAGGAACAGGAGGAGGAGGAGAGGCGCAGTGCCTTAGAAAAGAGTATGTAAGTGATTTCCTTTGGTGTGCTGGCATACAGGGAGAAAAGGGCATGTGGGGAGAAGTCAACAAGTGCGTCGGGCTGCAGGAGGCACAGAGGTGTAGTCCTGGAGAGCACTGAGCCAGGAATGTTTAGCTGCTTCAGAGTACGGTCAGCTTGTGTGTGCTCTGGGTGCACCTCTCAGGGTGGCCTTCCTCCCAGTGTGATGCACTCGTCTTGGAACACAACTCTCCTCAACTGTGAGCTTTGCCCATGTCAGACTGGGTTGATGGGTGTTCTAGAGCAACACATCTGGAGGCCCCAAGGCTGCAGAAGGCTGCCTTAGGAGGTTAAGTAGTAGTTAATGAACCTTGGGCTTTCACAGTGCAAATGCTTGTGGAATTTATTTATTATTTATGTAATGTATTTGTATTTATTTATTTGTTTGTTGTGTATGCCACTCCATAACCCAGGGGCTCCCTGGGTGGCTCAGAAGAAACAGGAACAATTTAGCCATAAAAAACCATAATAAGATTAAAACTATAACATCTGAAGTAACATTATAATCCTAATATAAAATACAGAAGGGGGAAACAAATAAACAAGCATTCAATCCAAGCAGCAAAATAGTGTGACAAAACCTTGATTATTCTAAAAGCAAGTACTAAATTAAAAAGTCTTTACCTGGTGGAGAAAGCGGAGCAACAAGGGTGCCAGTTGCACCTCTTGAGGGAAAGAATTCCAAAGACGAAGTACCATAACAGAAAAGGCCCTTTTTCTCACCAATTCTCCTCTCACTTCTTTTCAGGGGTACTCACAAAGGAGGGCTTCTATTGAAGTGCTTAGTGGCCTGGTAGGGCTCTATGGAGACAGGTGCTCCTTCAGATATCCCAGCCCCAAGCCATTTACGGCTTTGAATGTAAGCATAAGCACTTACATTGGGCTCGGGCAATAACAGGCAGCCAGTGCAGTTGGCAGAGGACCAGCATGATGTGGTCTCTCAGACTGGTCATTGTTACTAGCTGTGCTACTCTATTTTGGATTAATTGAAGTGCCCAGAGCACTTTCAAAGGCAGCCCCGCATGGAGAGTATAATAGTAATCTAGGCAAGAGGTTACCAGCACATGGATAACTGTGGCAAAGCTCCGCTCATCCAAGTAGGAACATAGCTGAGAAATCAGCCTAAGCTGTTACAAGGTGCTCCTGACCACCAAACTCACCTGTGAGACAAGTGACAACTCAGGGTCCAGTAGCACCCCCAAGCTATGAACGTTATCCTTTAAGGGTAGCACAACTCTGTCCCAGGTTGAAAATTCCCCAGTTGAACAGATGGACTGACCACCAACAGCACCTCTGTCTTGTATGGATTGAGCGTCAGCTTATTGGCCCGCATCCAGTCCATTAATGAGCTCAGACACTGGTTCAGAACTATCACTGCCTCACCTGGATTAGATGAAAACAAGAGGTAGAGCTGAGTGTCATCAGCGTACTGGTGACACTTCAGCCCATTATCTCCAGATGACCTCTCCCAGTGGTTTCATGTAGATGTTGAATAGCACGGGGGACAAAATAGAGCCCTGCAGGACTCCATAGCACAAGTGTCATGGTGCAGAAAGACAGTCCCCCAGTTCCACCAACTGGAGGTGGTCACAAAGGAGCCATTGCAAAGTAGAGCCACCAACTCCCAGGCAACCAAGCTCTCCAGAGGGATACCATGGTCAACGGTATCAAAAGTCGTTGAATTGTCATTGACCCTGACCCTCTACTAAGTTCATGTATAAAAATGCCTTGAATAGTTTGGGAGAATCCATGACCTCACAGTTGTGCTCTTGAAGTATACCTGCTCTGTCCATCGCCTGTAGCATAATCTGAAGACAGGAGCCTGTAGGTGCCATGCAAGGAGGAGGGGAGATGGGGAGGATTTATGGAAAGGTAGGGAACAAGGGTCACAGAGTGTCACTGCTGCTTCCTCTTTTCTGCAGGTTTGTGCTCAGGGAGTTGATCGAGACTGAGAAGAAGTATGTGGAGGACCTGGGCAAGATTGTGGAGGTACCAGCTGCCAACTATCCCTTCCATTTCTGGGACTGATCCAGCAGGGCCCTCTACAGATGTTTGTGTGACCTTGAGCAAGAAACTGCCCATCTTCCAGTGAAGCTGCGCTGCTTGTTCACTTTTGTTTTTCTTGATGCACCCTCCTTGCTGTCCTCAGCAGTGGCAGGGCAGTAGGAAGGGTGGATTAATTATCATACTTGGTCCCAGCGATCCACTCTGTGGGTCTTTCAAGTATTTGTGCCCCTCCCACCTCCACCCCTAGGCAGCTGTTGCCTGCCAGATTGACCATCCCATTCCTTATGTGGTATATCAGTGGTGCTTTTTCAGAGGAAAAAAGAGCTTTGCCCAGTATGAAAGCCCAGCTGCATTTCACCAAGGCCCCACTATCTTCCTTTTTATCACCTAACCCAGTCTCCTAGGATCAGAAAACTGCCCCTTTGGAGACCCTGCTATCCTAATGACATCAGCTTGGCTACATCTGTTCTTCTTAAGTAATTTCACACACACACAATTTTGTACAGCATTTCATCTGGAAGAGGGTTTGGTTTGGTTTGGTTTGGTTTTTAACATAAGACCAGTTTCTAGTCCTCACAGTTATTGTAAATATGCCAACTGTAACAGCTGCAAAGGGATCTAGTTTTTGAGTGATGTGGCATCCTTGCCTTATATGGGTCTCTGCTCTTTTCTCATAGTTTTTAGTCATATCCCATATATATTGTCCTTAATGCCACTTATAAGAAGAATCATACAGGCCCGTGCAGTCAGACTTCCAGGTGTTATTGCATCCTTTACACCAATGGTCCTCAAACTTTTTCAATAGGGGGCCAGTTGAAAGGCTATGGTGACCGTTGGGGGCCAGTGAGGTGGGGGTACCTGGGGGCGCGGGCTGGTGAGGTGCCTCGCTCGGAGATCTCCCAGCAAGTCCAAAACCATCTCCGAGTGAGCAAGCCGTCATCTCCCAGCCTGCGCAGCGAGCCCGTGCATGGGCGACAAACAGTCGCACGGGCCAGATGGATGGCCATGGCGGGTCAGATCCGTCCCGTGGGCCATAGTTTGAGGACCCATGCCTTACACCCTTGAGAGGTGCTAGTGACCCCCTTGGAGAGGGAGAGAATGGGAGATTATATGCGTATGTGTATCTGTCTCTGTCTCTGTGAAGGAGACACCATGATTTTTGAAAAGTTATCTCAGTTACCACTATCTCATTTTGTGACAATTCACTTTGTAATTTGATTTTGCCTAGATAAATGCATTTGTTTTTCTGTGCTGCTGCTATCTAAGGGCACTCACTGGCTACATCCAGCATTCTGAGATTTTTTTTTCTGTATTTACTCTCTCTGCACTGTCATTTTATAAACAAAGCCCTATCTCTGTTTGGTTATCTTTTTTTCGTTTCTAAACTACAAATACTCACTTTCTCAGACCTGTCCTTGTAGTAAATATGCTGTATCCTCAGTTCATTAGTTACTCATTTCTGTGAGTTCTCCTTCAGCTCTGTACTGTGATATGTTTTTTTAAAAGGGATAATCATCTGCAAAAGTATACAGTATTCCAAATGATGCTATACTATAGACTACATCAATCCCTTTCCTGTACACTGTAGTGAATTAATTCACCTGGTAACCAAAATGTCACCATCTATGCAAAAAAAAAAAGGGGGGGGGGAGGTCTCAACAAGCTTGAGTCTGTAGGGGTATAAAAGGTTTGCAGAAGTACAAAAATACTTAGAAAAAACATCCACAAGGGAGTAAAACTGAAAACCTGCAAACAGTCAGGACTAAGCACATTCAGTGGGCATAGAATAATGAAGGTAGGATGGAATGGAATGAAAGATCCATGAAGAATTAATAGAAGGCACTTTCGAACCCTGAACAGGAGCACTGCACAACCAGGGCTTTTTTTGTCATAGAACGCACCAGAATGGCGTTCCGGCACCATTTTTTGACGGATTTTTCCATGTGATTGTGAATCGCCCTGTCGGGCGTAGCAGGTCAGCAGCAAAAAGCATTGAAATAGTGCCTGCGGGTTGCGTGTGTGTTCGCGCTGCTTGTGAGGGCGCTGCTTGGCCCGGGACGCTGCTCAGCTTCGGATCGGTCGTGTGGTCGCGCGCTGAGTGCTTACTGCCGGCGGCGACCATTATGTTTATGTGTGTGTAGAGTGACTGGCTATGTGCAAAAGGTAAATAAGTTCTTTGTTTCAAAAAAAGTTGGTGAATTGAAAATCTTTTTTAGTGTAAAAGTGTGACCCCAAGAGGTGAGTTCCAGCCCTTTTTTTTTTTTCTTTTTACAAAAAAAGCACTGTGCACAACAAGAGCATTTTGGTGCACCTCCCACTTGTAATTTCTAATATTTGGGGTGCAATTCTATGCATTTTTAGATGGAAAATTCTTACAGCTCCTAGCATTGCCCAGCTATCCGTGCTGACTGGAGAGTGATGAAAGTTGTAGGACTTCTATCTAAACACGCATTGAATTGTGCCTTAAAATAGCATGTACATTTCTTCTGCTTACTGAACTGTAGTCAGCTTTTTGCTATCAGTTTACAGTTGCTTACCTTAAATTTAATCTGTTATGGTGTTGTTAGTGAGACACCCTCTTTGGAAAGGATTTTGCAGATTTTCACAGTTTTCTTTGGCTTTTACTTTCCTGAATAATTTGGTGTCATTCTCCAACATGACCACCTTGTATTTACACTGGATTCTAGATAATGTATGAACAAAATAAATAGGAGTGATTCTTACACAGTTCTGATAATGTTTTCTACCATTTGCTCCTATCCTCCATTGCTTGTCAAACTTAGGAGCTATAGTCTTTATCAAAATGCAGTGTCCACTGACTTGCCTGCATGTTTACATATTTTCTTGAATTTTAAAATGTTGGTGAAGCAAAACTTCCCTTTCCAAAAGCCTGCTATTCTTCCCTCAGCAAAGCTTGCTCTTCTTCTATTTTAAAAACAATTTTATTCCTAATAGTACTTTCTGTTACTGCACCTGGGACAGGTCTGTAATTTTCTGGATCTTTTCCTGCCCCCCCCCCCCCCGCCCTCCGTTCCTTTTCAAAAGACTGTTTAAAATATTGGTTGCCTTTCCAAGTCCTCTGGCAAGGAAGCTAATTTAAGCAATCCTACATATTTTAACTAATACTTCAGCAGTTTTTTATTTGTTCTTTAAGAACCATTGGATGAATGCCCTCAGCCACAAACCTTGGATTCTTTTCATTTCTTTTTTCAGTTCTAAAACAGACTGATTCAGGCATGGATATAAGTCCACCATCTTTTGATATTGAGAATTGAAGCAAAGAGTTCATTTATTTTCTCTGCAATTTCCCTGCCTCCTGTAATGACTCCTCTCACATCTTTGTCCCCTTTGTCCCATTGCCTCTCTGGCTGGCTTTTTGCTTATACAATTAAAGAAACATATGGTTGGGGTTTTCATATATTTTAATATCTTTAGCCATTTCTGTTGCATATTCCTTTCTGCCGCTTGCTATATTGTACATCTATGTTTGGTTTTCAAAATCTGTGTTCATTCTTGCTCTTTCTTCACTTAGGCAAAACATCTTTTTAATGAAAATCATGTTGCCTTGTCTGCTTGGCTCTGTTATTTAAGCATGTTGGCTTACTGTTGCACTTGTTTGTTCCTTTAAAAACGTGGTACATATTTTCTTTGAGTATTATTACATCTTTACAACTATTATGTTAACCTTATTTACTTTTCCATTTGAGGAATACCTCCTAAATTAGGTCCTTAACCATTTCTGTCACTATATTGCCACTGATCAGGCCATCACAAATTGCACAAATGTTAGATTTTGCAAGCACATAGCCAGAAATGTTGTGCTGCTGACTCTAAACAAAGACTTCATAATAATGCTGGTGTTGTACATTTATACCCAGTTCAGATTACAACAATCCATAGGATGTCAGGGACAAGCATTCACTTGTTCCCACTAGATTCTGGCAAGCTGTGGTCTATGCAGTCCAATAATGGCCATTAGATGCAAACCTGTCTCTGATGAAAATTATTTCATGACATTTTATTAAAATAAGATGACAAAAATAAGTGCTAAGTGCCCACCAGGATGTGCTCAAGCCAGAAAAATGAATGTCCTGTGCTCAGCAATTTGTCACCAAGCCAGAAAAGCCTGCAAAGTAGTCAGCAAGCCCAGCAAATCCAGGAAGACATGAAAGCAATGCAGCCATGGTAAACAGGACCAAAATGGCAGCTTTACTTTAAAAAAATGGTGGCAGTATGAAAATACCATCTGCGCACTGGTCAGTACCAGGAGGCAGAACGAAAGGGAGCACGACATCTTCACTTCCTTTGCTTTTCATTTATCTCTGGGGGTTTCCATACTTTAGCCAAAGGACTAGAAGGTGGGAGCAGGTTTGTTTCTTATTGAGCAATGGGGTAGCAATGCACCACTCCACTGTATCTTCACAAATACAACTCCGTTTCTTCATGAGACTGAGTTTTCAGAAAGGGCCTCTCTCCAAACCACCGAGCTAGTGGCCCTAAGATACTGGAGTTCAGAATAAAGCATGCAGGTTGATCAACTTTAAACTGGATTCATGTGATGTACATTAAAGGCATGTAATGCACTATTTTGCACATCAGGTGCAAAATTAGAATTTTTATTATGGGCATATAAATAGTCCTGTCTTCAGCTCAGCACTGCACTGGTTTTCCAAATGTTCTGTCTTCAGGAAACTATTTTCACACCAGTTTGTCTTTTGAGGAACACCAGATGGTGTTGCAGATTATTTTTTGAGGAGAGGTATATTCTAGGGTTTGCTCTGCATTCTTCCTCCCCATTCCTGCTTCCTCCTCATTATTCCATATAAACAGAATGCACTGGTTTCTCGAGTGTTCTGCTGCCACACATTTCAGGGAAAGATGGGCTTGTCTACCATTAGTGATACTTTTCTGGTAAAACCCTTGGTAGACGCTCAGGGTTCCCCAGAACAAAAACGTTGTTGTGAGTAACATGCACGCACACACACCTTTCCTTCCCGGTCACCAGGCTAAGCCCATGTCCCCTTGTTCCTGTCTTCTTCTGCGCTCTCCTTCTGGGCACTGATTCCACCAGCCCAGGAATTATTGGGCTGGGATCAGTCTCCACCACTTCTCCAATTTATTCCCTCCACCATCTTAAAGATTAAGCAGGCAGCCTGCACTAGCCTACTGTTTTGACTTCTGCAGGGTTACATGGCGACCATGAATGCCCGAGGCATCCCCGAGAATATGAAGGGCAAAGACAAGATAATTTTTGGGAACATCCACCAGATCTACGACTGGCACAAAGAGTGAGTGAGTGAACATCTGTTCCTGGGTGCATCAGGACATGGGGGAAAGCCTATGAGATGGAACGCAAGCAGTGGGTATGGTCAAGAGAACATGTCCTGTGGATCTCAACCAACTGCTGTTCCCTCTCATCCCCTGACTACAGCTATTTGCTGAAGCAGCTGGAAAGGTGTCCCGAAGATCCTGAACTGTTGGCGGACCTGTTCATAAAGCACGTGAGTTGTTGCTGCCATTACTAAAATAAGAGCAGAAGAGCTGCCCAGCTCGGGCTTAATGACTGAATAGAACCCCCCACTGTGAAGCAGTGTAATTCTCATTACTGAGGGCTGGGATCAAATAGTAGCCATAGTTGTTACATGCATGGCTTGTCATGTAAGCGGCTTCAAAAGATGCTGATGACCACAGCTGGAAGCAGTCCTGGGCTAGGTGGAACCTCAATCTGAATCAGCTCTGCACAACTTATTTTCCTGTGTCCATCTAGCTTAGCATACTGTCTTCACATAGTGATTGGTTCAGGGCAAGTTGCAGAAAATGGTAGTGCTTGGTATCCCAGAGGTTCATCTCAAGCATTTTAAGTCAAGGACAGGCTGTCTCTGAACACAGAGGGCACTGGAAGTGGTTTGCAGACCATCATTTCTACACAGGTAAGTGTAGAAGTGACTTGCCCACTATTGTAACATTAGCCCAATTCTGTTGTTAGCTTCAGAATGGTACACATGCAATGGAGAAGTTACAGGGAGAGACTTTGCCCCTCCCCAAGAGATGGGAAGCTTTTGTGGGTTGGAGAGATGCTTTGCCTCCCCCAAACTCACTCAAAGCAGTATTTCACTCCCACTAGGAGACCTTCAGAAATGCAATGCTGCTTGCAAACATGGCATGTGTTCCTCATATATGTTGTTTCTTTACAAAATAGCTGCAGTTTTGGCTGCCCAGCAGGGGCAGAGACCCCATAACAATGGCCATGAAAAACTGCACACAGGCCCCCTGTGTTGCTCAAGGCAGCCTAGTCTAATATCAGCTAGTGGAACTGTGAAATTCACTAGTAGGTCATAAGCAGCTTCTAGTCTAGTCAATTTCACACTGAAGGTGAACATTTTTAAAATGTTATTGAATATGAAAGAGAGGAAGGAAACGGATTTTGAAAAGTCACTCTCAAATGTGGGAGCATGTGGGAGATACTGTTGCGTTCTTTAAAAAATAGTAAAGGGCCACATGGTAAATAATGTTGCTTATTGGCCATGTAGCTAGGAATGGTCATTAGGGGATTTGGAGCCAAGTGCCAGCACACAGCACTGTCTCCCTGTGACATCTGAATCAGGTGAGGCTGTGCAGATCCTGGATCAGTGCCTAGACTCAGTGATGGGCTGGCTGAAGGCCAAGAAACTGAGTTTGAATCCTGGCCCAGAGTCTGGGAGATAGACTTAATTGCCTGTTCTAGAGGGGTTGCATCCCCTTTGAAATATCAGGTTTGTAGTCTGGGGTAAATTCAAGATCCATCACTGTCACTGGAGCCCTGTGGCAGCTCAGAGTGCCTTTTATGAGCTTCAGATGGTTTGCCAGCTACAACTTGTCCTGGGCAGGGATAGCTTGGCCACAGTGGGACAGGTGCTAGGATCCTCAGGAATGGATTGCTGCAATGTCCTCTATGCGGGGCTGCCCATGAGGCTGGTCTAGTGGCTGGAGCTCATGCAGGATGCAGCAGTTCTGCTGTTGTCAGGAGCTATTTTCAACATGCAGGTCCTTTGCCAGCAGAACTGTACTGGTTGCCTTTTCACTCCCAGGACAGGTTTAAAGTTTTTGGGACTGGTGCATAAATCCCTAAACAACTTGGAACCATCATATTGAGATGCTGTCTTCCTTACCAGCTGGCCCTATCACTGAGGTCATCTGAACACATGCTTCTGGTGGTTCTGCATGTACTCATGGCCCAGTTGAAGTGTACCCAGAGAAGAGCTGCTACAGGGTATGGTGACCCCCTTGCTGCAGAAGCTTTCGCCTCTGCAGGTCCGGGAGGCACCAAAATTCGTGCCTCCTGAAAACATGTTTACTAGAAGAAGCCTTCTTTGCCTGACCAGCCACTGTTTTTATTGATATGTTGCTCTTACAAACATGCATTTTAATATGGTTGCATTGCTCATTTTATCATTGATTGATCACTGCTCCAGAATCTGAATAGATATGGAGCAGAATATAAATGTGTAATTCAATTAAAAAGTAATGTCAGATTATGGGCTGGGGAGTGGAGTGCTATGCTGATTGCATCTGGTGTTCATTTGTGCTCTGCCTAGAAATAGGACAGTGCTACTGCCTTTTTTGGCATTTCCTTGGCGTTTTGACCACCCTTATAAAGCTAGGATGAAGTGGATCCTGGTTCACAGGAGCTATTTATTAGTTTGTAAACGTGCTACAGGACTCTTCTTGGTCTTTGCTGTACAAAACAGGTTGACTATCCCTACCCAAGATTGTTCTGAGGCCTTCAACAGGGCTAGTGGCTTCGGTAAGGCCACTTAATGATCTGCATGACTGAGCAAGGAGATGACCCTGACTCTACGCCTGTATTCAAGCTACAGTGCCACGTGCCATGTTCAGGGTTGTCTTGAGTGTTCCACTGAATGGTTTCCATCTTGCCTTCCAGGAGCGCCGTTTGCACATGTACGTTGTTTACTGTCAGAACAAGCCCAAATCTGAGCATGTTGTGTCCGAATTTATTGACACTTACTTTGAGGTAAGGGGCTCTGTGTTTTTGCTGCAGCCTTGTCCTCTCCTGCTACCACTGTTGCCACATGGCTTGCCTGTGGGTGACTCAGTCTCCCGCCAGGATCCATCTGCCTCTGTCTCCCACACTTTCGTGCCCCTTTCCGAGCCAGCAGAAATAAACTCCAGGGTATTTGGCAGCCTCTTTAACACCTAGCAGCTCCCATCCTGGGGGTGGGGCAGGCGGGAATCAGTTACATGCAGCAAGTGACACACACACTGGCTTGATTTTTACATGCCATGATAGACCTGAAAAGTATTTGTGATATGCAACACGAGTGGATTCAGCTCCTGACATCTAAGCTGCATGTGCATAGGAACCTGCCTTATAACGCATCAGACACCCAGTTCATCTTCCCCAGTATTGTAGATACCAACCAGCCACAATAGCATTGCAGGGTTACAGGTGGGAAATTTTTCAGCGCTCTCCGGAGACGCCAGGGATCGAATCCAGGACCATCTAAATGCAAAGCATCTGCTCTTCCACTGAACCATGTCCCTTCCGCTCTAGTTTGCTTTGAGGTAAGAGCTGCCATGAGAGTCAGTGTCGAAGCCATGCCCCTCAGAGACCTGCATGCATTGACTGACTCTTTGAATAGGCACAGGGAGCATGTTTTTATCTGGGCTGTGGCTACAAGACAGCCCTTTCCCCCTGAAATACCTGCCCTCACACTAAATGGGAAAGGAATGTCTTTCCCCAGGATGCTGAATGGCACCTTCCTGTAGCTTCTTTGCACTGAGACAAGATCTTGACTGCAAGCTGCCCCAAGGTGCCCATCCTGGCAGGGTTTCTCTGCACCAAGAGATGCTCTGGGCATATGTTGTATTTGCTTTGCTATAGGTCGAGTACTGGCTACTCTAACTGGCAGTAGCTCTCTCAGGGTCTCCAACCCGCTGTTGCTCTCCTGAGGCCTTTCTCATTCTTGCCATCGGAGATCCTTTTGAAGGAGATGCTCAGGATTGGACCTTTAGCATGCCATGCAAGCTTTGTCACACACTGCCAGTAGTGGGCACTTTTGTTCTGAGGCTGAGGGGCAATGGGTAGCCTAAGGTAACCTGGTGTCTTCTTGGCCACTGTGAGACTTGAACTGGAAACCTCTGCATTAGCAGCTCAGTATCTTGACTGACCTGCTGCACTTGCTGCCATCTGCTGTTGAGGCTGGAAGCTTGGGTGGAGAACTTACTGGACTGCAGGCTCTAGAAACATGGGTGGCCTTCCAGAGCTTACTGGATCACAGAGCTTGTTTGACTACAGTTACCATCAGCCCCAGACAGCATGACCAGTGATCAAAGATGATGGCAAGTATAGCCCAACAGCAGCTGGGGGACCACAGATTCTTCAGCCCTGCTTTAGCAGCCATGTAGGAAGGGGTCCAGGGTCTTCCTAGGCATGTGAGTGAAAAGCTTCTGGGGGCAGGATAATTTTCCAGCAGAGAAGGTGGGAATATAGAAGGCGGGATGATGGTGCTCCCACACTATTTTCACACTATTTTCCCTTGCAGGAAATGAAGCAAGAACTGGGACATCGCTTGCAGCTCAGTGACTTGCTCATCAAACCTATACAGAGGATCATGAAATACCAACTGCTGCTTAAGGTGCTAAAGCGGGAGGTGGAGTGTTGCCCTCCAAAGCTAAAGCAATGCAGGGGTTGGTGGTAGGTGGCTGGGGAGGGAAGACTGCATATAGATCAGGAGAGCAGCAGACGCAAGTAGGCAGTGGAGTGTTGTGTTTTGTCTTTTGAGGAGATGTCTAAGTCTTGCAGTAGCTATGTCACCTACAGAGAAGAAACCACTGGAATGTGGGGAAAGGAAAAGGAGTGGCTAACCCATCTGGTGGCTTCTGCTGCCACCTAATGGCTAGTAGTTGTATCTGCCTCCAAAGCTGGAACTGTGGTTAGGGCTGCTTTGAACATGACAAGGCAGTGAATTGGTGCTTCCCACCATGTGTACTGCCTTATTAAATGAACTGCCTTCTTTAATGAACAGTGCAAAGAAATAGAAGAAAACAATAGAATAGGGAGGAGCAGAGGTCTCTTCAAGAAAATTGGAGATATGAAGGGAACGTTTCATGCAAAGAGGGGCATGATAAAGGACCAAAATGGTAGGGACCTAACGGGCAGAAGAGATTAAGAAGAGGTGGCAAGATTGCACAGAAGAACTATACAAGAAAGAGCTTAATGTCCCTGATAACCACAATGGGGTGGTCACTGACCTCTAGCCAGACATCCTGGAAAGTGAAGTCAAATGGGCCTTAGGAAGTCTGGGAGACAACAGTATTCCAGCTGAGCTATTCAAAATCCTAAAAGATGTTGCAGTAAAAGCGCTACACTCAATATGCCAGCAAATTTGCAAAACTCAACAGTGGCCACAGGATTGGAAAAGGTCAGTTTACATTCCCATCCCAAAGAAGGGCAATGCCAAAGAATGTTCAAACTACCGCACCATTGCACTCATTTCACATGCTAGCAAAGTTATGCTCAAAATCCTACAAGCTAGGCTCCAGCAGTATGTGGACTGAGAACTACCAGAAGCACAGGCAGGATTTCGAAGAGGGAGAGGAACTAGAGATCAAATTGCCAACATACTCTGGATCATGGCGAAAGCTAGGGAGTTCCAGAAAAACATCTACTTCTGTTTCATTGACTATGCTAAAGCCTTTGATTGTGTGGATCACAACAAATTGTGGCAAGTTCTTAAAGAAATGGGAGTACCAGACCATCTTATTTGTCTCTTGAGAAGCCTCTATGTGGGTCAAGAAGCAACAGTGAGAACTGGGCACAGAACCACTGATTGGTTCAAAATTGAGAAAGGAGTTTGGCAAGGCTGTATACTGTCGCCCTGCCTATTTAACTTATATGCAGAGCTCATCATGAGAAAGGCGGGGCTAGATGAATCACCAGCTAGAATTAAGATTGCTGGGAGAACAACCTCAGATATGCAGATGATACCACTCTCATGGCAGAAAGTGAAGAGGAACTAAAGAGCCTTTTGATGCGGGTGAAGGAGGAGAGAGCAAAAGTTGGCTTGAAACTCAACATTAAGAAAACTAAGATCATGGCATCTGGTCCTATCACTTCCTAGCAAATAGATGGGGAAGAAATGGAGGTAGTGACAGATTTTATTTTCCTGGGCTCCAAGATCACCGCAGATGGTGACTGCAGCCAAGAAATTAAAAGACACTTGCTCCTAGGGAGGAAAGCTATGGCAAATCTAGACAGCATGCTAAAAAGCAGAGACATCACCCTGCCAATAAAAGTGCGTATAATCAAGGCTATGGTTTTCCCAGTTGCAATGTATGGCTGTGAAAATTGGACCATAAGGAAGGCTGAGTGCCAAAGAACTGAAGCCTTTGAATTGTGACGCTGGTGGAGACTCCTGCGAGTCCCTTGGACCGCAAGGCGATCAAACTAGTCAGTCCTAGAGGAGATCAACCCTGGCTGCTCTTTAGTAGGCCAGATACTGAAGATGAAACTCAAATACTTTGGCCACCTAATGAAAGGAAGGACTCCCTGGAGAAGAGTCTAATGCTGGGAACAATAGATGGCAAAAGAAGAAGGGGATGGCAGAGGATGAGGTGGCTAGATGGAGTCACTGAAGCAGTTGGTGTGAGCTTGAGTGGACTCCGGGGGATCGTGGAGGACAGGAAGGCCTGGAGGAATGTTGTGCATGGGGTCACGATGGGTCAGATACGACTTCCTGACCAAGAACAACAACCATGTGTACACTCTTGACTGCAACCATTCCTTGATGCTTCCCTTCAGATCTTTGATACTTATTCTTACATGCTCCTCACTGCTCTGAGTGGTAAAAGGTCTGTGGGTCATCACTGCTGGGCTTAGTTTCCTTTGCATGAAGACTTAGATTATTTGTAACCTTTGGGCTTGTTGTTTTATTTATAAATATACAAACAGAGGATCAGTGAAGGCAAATCCACTCCTGTGAGTAAACAGCATAGTCTGAAACAGATTCCCAGAGAGACATTTCTTTAACAAGAATGTCTCTGTATCTCCTTTTCCTTCCAGCTACAAACTGATATCATGCATTCATCTTTCAGGCACTGGTCCTCTACCTCCTTCACCCATGCAGTGAAGTGCCCTTTCAAGAGACCATCTGTTGTCATTAGGAATCATTAACACTCTTTTGTCAATTTGGTGGTTTCTTGGCTTTTGTGCAGGTTTTTTGCCCTATTCTAAAAGGTCAAAATGACAGTTACTTTCAGTAGGAGATTTATGTTAAAATATGCTGGTATTTTTGGCTTCAATGTTTTTTTTTAAAAAAATCTGCACCTGGAAATATATACACAAAACAACTTTTTGTGTGTTTTTTTACATTTCCATTTATGCAAAAGCAACCTGTTTGCAAAAGTGCTAATGGGAACATTACAAACTGGCTTGGAGACCCATGCATTGGGGTACCCATGTCCCAGAGACAGCTGGTATCCATTCTGAACAATGCACAGCAGAGCCTTAAAAACCTTCTTCCTCTCCCTCAAGTTTTTTTGACGCATCAGAGAAGCTGATAAGTCAAGAGGAACCCATGTATTGATAAATTTTCAGCAAAGAAAGGAAGTTGGGGGGATTTCCCTCTTTTTTCAGCAAGATTCTCAACTTTTTGAGTTCCCCTAATTTGTGCCCACAGAGGGACTGTGGGAGCTAGAAATGGCTTGTCTTTGAATCAGGAAGGGAGAGGGGACTCATTCCTGCAGTGGTGTCCCCTGGAATACTGCCTTTAAGACATGGGAAAGGAGTGAGCAAAGGACCCACAATCAACCCAGACATCTGTTGAGCTCATCCACTGTGGCAAATCACCACAATGCATTATCATAATGTGCACCGCATGTATGTAAAGCATAGCAAAGTAAGTCTCTTCATGAATGGAGCTAACAAAATCATCCAGGTGACAGAGCTGAAATTTCTAGCATTTCTTGTTTGTGATCTTGGAATCTTGACAATGGTCCTGTTGATTTTTGATGATGGGGAGTGAGGTTGTATATCTAGAGTCTGTTCTTCTGTCTGAGTTCCTTGGCATTGATAATGACCCTTATTCTGGCCTTTATTAGAATTTATAGAGGAGAATCAAATGAGAAATGGGGCCTTGTTTCCACAGTTTGTATAGCTGGCAGCAGTACTGGGGGCACCAGAAAAGTAGTCCCCAGATCCTGCCCAGAGCTCTGGTCACATCCAGCCTGGTCATCAAAAAGTAGCAAATATCACTTTACATCTTCCACTTAAGAATATATGCATTCTTTTCCTCTTCCCCGTCCCTTGTCCCCCAGGATTTCCTGAAGTACTATGGCAAAGCTGGCAACAACACAGAACAGCTCGAGGTAGGAGGTGAATGCATGGAATCTTGTCCCATAGCCATTGTTCCTTCACAGCATCATTAGGTATAGACTGGATATTCCACGGCAGGTTTTAAATCAGGACTTGCAGAGCTCTCCTGCAAGGGCTACACAAAGCTCAGTTTAGGCACATTGTGAATCTGTCCTCTTTCTACTTAAGCCTTGAGAGAGAGGGAGCTGTGGCTTTCTCATTTTCCCTGGTGTAAACTTCCACCCAAGAGGTAATTTAAACACAGATTTCACAGTCCCTGCTGTAACAGCATCCATACCTGACAACATTCCTTGACCTGGGCCTTTAGCCTCATCAGCCTGCATGGTGTTTGTTGTCTAATCCAGGTATACTTTTAAATAGTGATGGTGCTACCTACTCATCGCTGATGTTCTTGCCTACTTCTCCAGTCAGCCATTGTCCTGATCATTTTTGGTCCAGCACCTTTTCCAAGTTCCTTCCTTATTCTGCCTTTCAGAAAGCTGTGGAGGTGATGTGTTTTGTTCCCAAGCGCTGCAATGACATGATGAATGTGGGTCGTCTTCAGGGCTTTGAGGTAGGCTCTGGGAGTTGGTGGCTGCGGTGGAGATTCTGCTGATCCCTTGGGAGCCAGGCTGTCAGCTGGGGACTCTGGAAGGCCTTCCAGATTTTTAGCTAGGTATGGTCAGGAGCACAGGAGTAATCTTCTCCTGTCTTGTAGCTATGGGGGAAGCCTGGAACCTGTCCAATGAAGGGCTCTTATTTGATTTGTTATGTAGGTTCTCCACCTCAGTCTGCATTAACCCAGGAACTGTGAATTTAAAGTATCACAGTTGGAAGTAGAGGAGAAATTGGGAAAGTAATGGGCAAAATTAAGGCCCAAACTACACATTTAGAAATATCATGTAGTTCAGCTTTTCCTGTAGTTTTGCATGCTCCAATGCTGCTCCAAGCTGAAAAAAAGCCAAATGCTTTCTGCATGTGGAAAGCTAAGAAGAAAAGTCCTAGTTTTACATTTTCCATCTGCAACAGTTAATTCTCATCGTTTCACTCTGAAAACAGGGCCATTTTGCACCTTCTGCACAGCTGAATAACTAAGATCTACCTCTCCTCTCCAGGGGAACCTAACAGCCCAGGGAAAGCTGCTGCAGCAGAACACCTTCTGGGTGACAGAGCAGGCAGGTGGGATCCTGGTCCGTGGTCGTGAACGCCGCATCTTTCTCTTTGAGCAGATTGTCATCCTAAGTGAGACTTTGGAGCGGCGACGTGGTCCATATGCCGCCCCATCTTATACCTTCAAGAGCAGCATCAAGGTAATACAGGGCTAGTAGTTGCCTCCTGGGGCACTTTACAGCAGGGTCGCCCCATATCCAAGGCTGTATATCCCATGTTTCTGCAGATGCATTATTGCTTGTTAACTTAAGTATCTTGAAAAACTCAGCCATGCATTTTCTTAACTTTATGGCTAGCAACGGTGTTGGCAATACTTGGTGAAATCTCAAGGGCAAAGAGCAGGAGTGATGCAAAACAAGAAAAGATCAACTTCCGCTTGATTCACAAACTTTGTACAGGTTGCAGATTATGACTGTACATGGCATAATGCTGCCAACCTTGACATAGGTTGGCTTCTTGCAGAATGTTGATGTATGTATGTTTAAAGCACAGGATGTATATAGCTAAATCCAGAGAACCATGCAGTTTATAAGACTTCATGAATACATGCAGAAGCACCCAAATCCTGCTTGACTATCCAGCTTCTGTCTCTATGTGTGTGTCCATTTTATTGATAGTTATATTCTTCTTTGGTTTTGAGCATCATTGCCTGAAAAACTATGCATCCGAGTTTCATATGGTCCAGTGTTTCTTCAGCAAGCTCCAGTTCTGTTGTCTTTACTTATCCACTGCCCCTCTGTATGCCAGGTAAGCTGTTTGGGCCTGGAGCCCTGTGTGGACAACGATCCCTGCAAATTTGCACTGATCTCCCGTGGCACAGAACGGGGCACCATCCGTTATGTACTGCAGGCTGCAACACCAGAGATTGTCCAGGCCTGGGTGGCCGACATCAACCTCATCTTGGAGACACAACGTGATTTCCTCAATGGTAGGGGGTCAAAGACGTTCAATCCCCTATTTTGGTTCAATGGGGTTACTTCACAGAGTTGCTTAAACTTACACCCAGCTTCTTCAGGGGCTTGATACTTCAGTATTTTCCCTTCATTTCCCTAGCTTCTAAATTGAGCTAAATATTCATTTATTTATACTTATATCCTACCCTTTCTTGCTAGTTGCTCAGGGGGGCTACAAAAGCTACTGGGGTATCACTGCAGGGCTTTGCAGAAGCATGGAGAATTTTTATAGATGGGGATAAACCAGTAGACAGTTTTCCAAAACTGATCTATTAACAAATGTTATTGCCTTTCACAGACTTGAATAGTCTTTGGTACTTTCTACTGTGAAAGAAACCACTTCAGAGGCTGGTTAAAAATTGCTGATGAGCTAACTAGTTTGTATTAAACTTAGAGTGTATCCCCTGTCAGGGCTGATAACACATACGCATTTTCGTCACTTATTGTCTTATTGCTTGGAGACACATAATTAAGTCTGGCTCTGTAAACACTTCAAAGAATGGGGTGTTAGAATGTAATGTACTATTTTAGACTAAGCAGTCCCTAGGATTTTTTTATTTTTTTTACCAAAAGCACAAACAAAAATACCTCCCAGTTCCTTACAAGTAAAGAACGAACACAGCGATGGGAACAGTTGTATGTCAACCAACTCCCTACATACTCATTTTCTACCCCAAAACACCTAACAGCAGTAAATTGTAAATTGTCTACCTCTAACCTTTTTGGTTGGCAGCATCTTTTTGTTAGTGAAGGTGAACTTTCTCCCTTCTAGAATTGAAATTCTGGCTCAATTCCCTTTACTGCATTCTTCACAGCACTGCAATCACCCATAGAGTACCAGCGCCGAGAAAGCAAGACCCACAGTCTAGGGCGGACAGGAGCCCTGCATCCCTCGCCTGCCCGACCCTGCTCCTCAGTCTCCATGGACCAGAACAAAGGATCTAGCCTCCAGACCCACAATGCCTCCCTGCCCTCCCTTTACCTTCCTGGGCCAGCCCAACCTGAACATCCACCATCTGTAGAGGTAAGGTAATAATTGCTCCAAATTTGGACATGAAAGGAGCTTGTAGTTGGAAAAGGCAGGTTAAAATTCAGTTCATTTTTTTTACTGGCTTACAGTATCCCTCCCCAACATGATGCTTTCCAGCTGAGTTGGACCACTGTTCCCATCATTCTCAGCCAGCTCTGCTGTAGTGTAGTCCAACACATCTGGGCAGCACCAGACTGGGGGAAGGTTAGTAACTCATAACATGTTTATACTTTTAATCAAGGGCTGGAAACCTCTAATCTGCAGGCCAAACTGGGTCTGCCGGAGCTCCCCATCCAGTCCACAAATGCTTCAAGTGAAACCCATCCTCCCTAGCCTTTCATCAGTCAAGGAAAATGAGGAGGCAGCAAAGCAGACTCTGGACCAAAGCAGCAACTGCAGGAGCCTCAGCTGAAGTCAGTGGCTGCGAGGCACCATCCACAGCTGGTTGCCCCTGATTTTAAAAAATCCAATGAGTAAAAAGGCAAAAAATTAAAATATTTTCCACAACATTTCTGAATTAACAACCTTTCAGGAGGCTTTGTTTGTTGAGTCAACCAAGCAAGAGATGCCCAAGCAGAGATGTTTTGAAAATTTAGGGCTTAGCTTCCTAGCAAAATAGGGCAGGTCAGCAAATACTGAGGAAGGGACTCCAGTTTATTTAATATTTTATTATCTCACCTATAAATTGCATTGGAAAATATTTATAACTGTTTATAAACATAGAATGAATATATGAATAAAACTAGAGTGTCTTGTGTCTTTCCAGCTGGGAAAAAAATAATGGGGTCTTTGGAGTTAAAAGACACTGAGTTCATGCCATGCATGTAAATATAAGGTTGCTCTCTGTGCCCCCATGTTCATTCATCCAAAGGAACTACTGCAGCCTGGTTCTGTAGCAATTGCTAATGGATTAAATTTGTCCACTTCCTGCCTAAGTATGTACTAAACAATTAGAAAAGAGATCTTCTCCTCCAACATGTAAAATGTTGCTGTAACAGGGGTTTATAGGATGCTAGGAGGCAAGTCATCTTTATTAAGATTGGCAGCAGACACTTGTTGCCAGTGTGGTGGGGGATGGCACAGTGGGGTCCAGGGCAACTTTAGGGAGGTTCTAAAACCCAGGGAGGTCCTGGGGGTGGGGGGGAACCAAGGGAGGCTAGGTTGGCTCCCTTTCAGCTGTCCTCCCCCCAGCAGGCAAATATGTTCTTATTCAAGCAGACTTTTGGCAGGTAAGCAGGTCTATTGGGTTGGGTGCTATCTTTACACTCTTGTTGCTGTGTTTTAATGTTGATCTATTATTGCTTTAATCAAGTTTTACTTGTCTGTGATTGTATTGTAAGCTGCCTTGAATGCTATTTTCTCACTAAAAAGCTGGGCGCAAAGCAAACCCAGTCAATAAATACATGTTCAGCGACAGGATCTTAATCTATGCAGGCAGCATTCAAGAATTGGGCTGGCGAGGAGAATTGTCGAGTACCAGTCACCAAATGAGTCAATCAAGAATGCCTATCATCCCCTTTGCAGCCTGCCTGGATGAGGCAGCTTCTTTGCTCACTCAGTCACCAGGCCCTCCAAAGGAACCGGCTGTGCTGCTGCCCATTTCTCTAGCATCATGGCTGTACTTGCCTGGTTCTCCAGACTGCTCGGCCCATGAGGTGCTGGGCAAGAGATGCAGGACTGGTCCTTGTCCACCCCATGAGCCTTTATTACTTCCTACTCCGCTCCAAGGACCGTTGTGCAGATACTTATCTGGACCTTGCACACCTGTCCACCTTATAGAGGATGGGAAGAGAGGGCAGGGAAAAGGCAGAGTAAGTTTAGAGCAGGTTTGGTTCTTCATCGTGGCCTCTGTGCATCACACATATGGGTGCTGCACCTGCGCAGTGCCTTTGGCTGGCAGATTGCAAGCTTTTGGTGGGAAAGCTCTGCTCCCCCTCTCCCATAGCCTATAAAGAGCGGAGCGTCCGCCATTTTGTTCAGTCTTTGTGACCGCCGTTCGCTGTGCCTCATGCTGCTTTCGTTCTTGCTCTGACCGTTGCTCGTCTAGCTTGTTCTTGTTCTCGATTGTTCTCTCCCAGTTGTTATAGCCCTGTTAGTTCTTATAGTTCTTGTTAGTTTTCATAGTTCTCTATCGTTCTACCTTCTCTTTCGATCTTCTATAAAAAAAAACAAAAACCAAAAATATATTCTTACCCTCTGTACTATCTCCTATTTTTTCCTTTCTTGCGATGGCGCAGCGAGTGGCTTTCCGCAAATGCGCGGAATGCAGGTCTAAGATGTCTCCGACCGACCCGCATGACCTATGCCTCCTCTGCTTGGGGGAGGGGCATTGGACTGACAAATGCTCTCACTGTCTGGCCTTCTCTAAGCAGGCCAGGAAAAACCGTGAGAATCGTCTGCAGAGGCTCTCGTGCAGTCCGACCCACTCGTTGCTTCGAAGCCTGGCTCTGCTATGGTGACTCCGCCCTTATGCCCTTCAGATGAAGGCACGTCTACCATGGGGGCTCCACCTGCTTCTCCAAAGAAAAAGCACAAGAAGCGTAAGCATGCTGAAACCGACAAATCAGCAAAGAAGTCAGGAAGGAGAAGGCTCTGAAACCGGCGAAAAAGTCGAAGGACCCGGAGCGCCCTCGACACCATGACTCGGGTTCGACGGCCCCCTCGGTACTGGCGGCAGTCACTGTACCGACTCCACCCGATCTGGTGCTTCAGGCGGCTATGAGGGTTACCCCTCAAGGGTCCCCTCGCCGTGTGGCTGACTTTTATGCTGAGCTGCTTCCAACTCTACAGTGGGGGTCAATTTCTGATGGGGAAATTCAAGATTCTCCCCCCAGGGCTAGGTCGTCCACACCTATGCCCGCAGCCACAATGGAGGTGGATGTGGAGATGTCCCCGCCTAAGAGCCAAAGGAGTCACTCCATAGAACAGCGCTCCGAGGGATGGCATCACTCCTACTATCAAGCCTGGGACGATCCACACTCCGTCGGGTTCTATCCCGCCCTTAGGGGTCAGTCTTCACTGCCTTCCCGCGACCGTCCACTGTCCTCGGGTCTGAGGCGCACATCCCCGATACCTCCTCGGGATGAGAGTAGCCGGTCCCTCTCTCCGGTGGAGTCCTCATCATCGGCTCCTCTGCATTATGGTGCTGACTCCGACAGTTCGGAGGTCGATTCAACCTCCCCTGACGTCGCTGTGACCTCCCAGGTCCCTGCGTCACCGGACGAATCATATGTCTCCTTCACGGAGCTGATGTCCTGACTTGTCCAGTCCCTTGACATCAACGCCGTCCAGTGTCCGGGACCCACTACGGACAAGTTTTACGACGTCTCCTCCATCGTCCTGCCGTTGATCACCACCTTACGACAGGCAATGACGCAACCCTGGGACTTGCCTTCTCACCCTCAACCCATGTCTCGGAGGTACAAATCCATGTACCGGGTTCAGGAGGAGGACATTCCCTTCCTCCTCCGCCACCCCAAGCCGAACTCGGTTGTGGTGGAGTCCTCCCAGGGCAGAGAGGCGAGAGGCCACACCACACCAAGGGACAAGGAGGAACGAAAGATCGACTCCCTGGCCAGGCGAGTCTACGCAGCCTCAGGCCTGGGGCTGCGCATTTCCAACTACGAGGCGACGTTGGCGAGGTATCAATACTTCATAATGCAATGCCTCCACAACATCATCTCAACCCTCCCGGACCACCAGGGTATCAAGGAGGCGATGCAGGTCGCCGTCCAGCAGTTGTCCACAGCTAGGCATCATGTGGACACGGACTCAAGAGCCTTGGTTGGTGCCGTCTCTCTCTGCAGTCATGCCTGGTTAAGGAATTCCAACTTCCCGGAGGAGACTAAATGGAGGATTGAGGAAATGCCCTTTGATGGGTCTGGGCTTTTCCACTCCAGAACTGACCACAAGCTGAAGAAACTCCATGAGTCCCACATCACGGCCAGGCAGATGGAGCTTCAGACTCAAACTAGGCGTAAGTGGGCATGGACCCGTCCATCCTATAGACAATCGTATCAGCCTAGACAACAGCCCCAACACTGGCCGCAGCAACAGCAATGCCGCCATCAACAGCCCCAGCAACGCTATCTGCAGAGCCATTGCCGTTATGACGGAGATAGGAGGCAGCATTGATGGGACTGGCGAACCATTCCTCTGATCCCTTCCATACCCACCCCCCTCTCATCTGGGGACCAGCTGAAAAGCTGACTCCCCATTTGGGAGTCCATCACATCTGACTGGTGGGTATTATCCATCATCCAGCACGGCTATCGGATAGAATTCGACATCATTCCTCCATTGATTCCGATCTGGTTTACATCATGCTTGCCGGTATTGCTCGATGAAATACAACAACTTCTTCGTAAATCGATTTATCGTGACGAAAAAGTTTCGAATGACCACCCTTCAAAATATTTTGCCGCTGCTAAGGAAGGAGGATTGGTTCGCCTCATTGGATTTGAAGGACGTCTATTTCCATTTTTCGATTCACCCGAGTTATAAGTGTTTCCTTCGTTTTGCTGTTGCACCCCATTTATATGAATTTACGGTTCTACCTTTCGGTCTGACCACCGCTCCAAGAGTGTTCAGCGAATGTATGGCCCCTGTCTGTGCTTTCCTACGCCTCCACGGCATACAAGTTTACCCTTACTTTGATGACTGGCTTCTGGTGTCCCAGTCTAGGGAAGGACTCCTCACATCCATCCATACAACCTGTGCCTTATTAGACGATCTGGGCCTATGCATTAATACCGAGAAATCTTCTCTTCTTCTGACGCAGACGCTTACCTTCATCGGAGCTTGTTTGGATTCAACGCTGGGAAAAGCCTTCCTTCCTCAGGATAGACAACAGACTCTCGCTTGCCACATCCATCGAATGCGACGAGATGGGACGGTTCCGGCAAAGTCCATCCAGAGGCTTCTGGGACATATGGCTTCCTCGGTTGCTGTGGTGCCACACGCCAGACTTCAACATTTACAACTACTTTTCAACAAGATGTTCCACCCACAGAGAGACTCACCGTCGAAGTTGATTCGAATCCCATCCTCGGTGCTCCATTCTCTACTCTGGTGGTTGGTCCCAGCCAATCTGACTGTTTGGGTTCTCTTCAGGCCCCGATGCCCGTCGATAACCCTTGGTGCCGATGCGTCTCTTCTGGGATGGGGAGCAGTATGCTCCGGCCTATATACCCAGGGCATGTGGACTCATCGAGAATCCACGAATCATATCAACTTCCTGGAGCTGTTGGCAGTATTCAAAGCCCTGCGTTCTTTCGAAGATATTCTCCAACATCGGGTCGTTCAGATAACTTTGGACAACATAGCCACCGTCTTTTATCTGAACAAACAAGGCGGAACCAAGTCCCCGACTCTGGCCAGACTTTCTATGCAGATTTGGGACTGTTGCATTCCGAGAGACATTACACTATGGCAGTCCATTTGGCTGGTACAGACAATGTGGAAGCAGACCTCCTCAGCAGGCGCATGTTCATCTCTCACGAATGGGAGCTAGATCCTCAGACATGCGACTATCTTTTTCATCGCTGGGGGTTCCCCGATGTGGACTTGTTCGCCACCCAACAGAACAAGGTGTGCGATGCTTTCTGTTCGAGAGCGGGAATCGTGTACTGATCCCTAGGGGATGCCTTCATGATCCCATGGAACAACCTGAACTTTTACGCCTTCCCGCCGATTCCTCTTATGATGAGAGTGATAGCGAAGATAGTACACGATCGGGCCACGGGGATACTAATTACCCCTTGGTGGCCGTGCCAACCTTGGTTTGCTACACTGCTCGACATCTCTCATGGGGAATACCTTCATCTTCCACTGCTTCCATAACTCATAACCCAACAGGACGGTACGTTTCGCCATCCAGATTTACTATTGTTGAACCTAACAGCGTGGCGAATCCGATAACTAACCTTGCGCCATCTGTATCGATGGCAACTTCAAGCGGTTCGAATCCTGCCTTCGAATCCGCTGAGTTCAGTGCCTTTGAATCCGCTGCGTTCAGCGCTACTTCCTCTTTTGTTCCTCCAGCACCATCGGATCCGAGGATTGATCCATCGCATCCGACAACCTTTCATCCAGATATTCAACACATTCTTGATTCTGCTGTAAAGCCATCTACGCGGAAGCCCTGCGCGACTAAATGGAGACGATTTTCCACCTTTGCCGAGTCTCGTTCGTTCTCTCCATTTACATCATTGATACATCAAATCCTTCAGTTCCTATTAGAACTGCACCACTCCGGACTGAAACCATCTTCAATTAAAGTGTATACGGCGGCAATCACCTATCATCGTGGCATGGTGGACGGATCACCCATCTTCTCTCAACCTAGTATTAAGAGGTTTCTTAAGGGTCTTCATAATCTTAATCCATCAATCAGACCAGTAATGCCTAACTGGAGTCTCTCTGTTGTTTTGCAAGCGCTTACAAGAGCTCCTTTTGAACCATTGGCAACAGTCGATTTACGTCTGGTTTCATGGAAGACAGCGTTTCTTGTGGCAGTTACCTCGACCCGAAGGGCCAATGAGCTCTGCGCTCTCCGCATAGACCTTCCTTACTTGAATTTCACAGAGAAAAGGTCGTCTTGCAGCCCGATCCATCTTTTCTTCCTAAGGTGGCCACATCTTTTCATATGGGACAGGATATTATCTTACCTGCCTTTTTTCTGTCTCCATCGACTCTGTTAGAAAGGTCACTTGCACTCACTTGACATTCGGCGCTGCTTAGCCTTCTACTGATCTAGGACTGAATCTGTTCGGCGCTCAAATAGACTATTCGTTAAACATTCTACCAGAGATCAAGGCGCTCCAGTCACGCCACAGAGACTTTCCAAGTGGATAGTCCATACTATCATTTTATCCTATCAACTGGCTAAGATTGAATTAGCCACAGCTCCTTGAAGCCATTCAACTAGGGCTGTTGCTGCCTCATCTGCCTTCTCATTGGGAGTCCCGATTGATGATGTATGTCGAGCTGCTACTTGGGCGAACCCTTGCACTTTCACCAGACATTATCGTCTAGACATTCGGGCTCAGCAAGATTGCTCCTTTGGCAGAGCCGTTCTTTCATCTGTTCTTCGTTGAGGACACTTCCGTTATGGTAAGCTTGTTAATCTACCCATATGTGTGATGCATAGAGGCCACGACGAAGAAAAGCAGGTTGCTTACCTGTAACTGATGTTCTTTGAGAGGCCATCTGTGCAGTCACACAACCCACCCGCTGGCTCCACTCAGTGTCAGTGTCGGGGAGTGGACATATTCGTCAGTACCGATGCTTTCCCTTTTTTCACAGTACCGACTTTTTCTCATCTAGTAGTGACAGTTTTTTCCACATGGGGGCATATGTTCGGTCGTCAAAGACTGAACAAAATGGCGGACACTCCGCTCTTTATTTCAGCTGACCATTTCAATACTGTTAGACCAACTGCATCCCTTCCAATATCCCTCTGTGAAAATAATTATTGTCATTGTTCCTGTGTTCATCTGTCTGGTAAATAATGACACTGCATTTCATTGTTGTGTCCCCCAGCCTTTAAAAATTATTGTTTTAGTGTGTTGGCTAACATTTTAACTTGTATTTTTAGGTTGATTATCCAATTTTATCAAATGTTAATTTCTATAAACTATAATAAAGTGTTGGGGGAAGGACTGCTGGAGGGAGAGGGGTTGATGGGTGGGGGACAAAACTGCTAGCTTCTGTTGTTAGAAATTAATTGAAAGATTGGAAGCAGTAGAGTGGACATGCTTTGTGTGCTTTTTGTACAGCTCTCTGGAATTCTACTCCTGGATTAAGTAAAATGACTGTTATCATATCTCGAATAGGGGCTGGGAGAGCAAAACACAAAGAACCATTATCTTTCTGAGAGCATATCTCTATATTTTTCTTATCTGAGAGATCAGATTAATCAGATTACCACAGTGCATGCTTTTTATCCACTGCCAGGTCAAAATATTCACCACATTGACTGTGGGACTAGTGAAGCTATGACTTATGTGCTTTTTCAGTGCCAAATTAAAAGTGCCTGTCCCCAAGACATGATGTATAGCTTCTGTGTGGGGTGTGTCTCCTTGCATTAACACCCCCCCCCACTTTGCCTTTTATCCCCAGCCACCTCGCAGCCAAAGCTCTCCAGGGCCTGAACCGATTCACATACACTCTGAGAGCTCTGAGGTCCAGCTCACAGGTGCCCTCCAGCAGGAGTCACTGCATATGGTGAGTTTTGGGAGGGTTCAGGAAATGCTCCCACGCGTCCAAAGGAGGACTCAGGCTCATTCTGGAAAATTTGAGGATTCTGATCCTGTTGGTTCACCCACTAAAGCTGTTGGTTAGCTGCTTTACCCTTCCTCTAAGTATTGGTTCAAGTTGAATGCTTACGTGTTTACATACAGACCGGTCTCTACCGCTTGGCCAGATGTTACCTTTTGTAGATCTTAACCAGGACTGTGAGGGTATGCTGTGAATTCCACAGGAACACCTGGGAATTGGAGTGTGATGCAGCATCTGGTACCAGCTGCACAATTCAAATCTTGACCACCATTTCTGATCTTGTAGTTTGGAAACCACCAATGGTTCCTCAGGAAACTCCAGGTTCCTCCAGAACCCAGTTTAAAATCAGTACCATAGAGCAAGGCTGTCAAACTTCCTTTCGGTGAAGGGCCAGTGGCCCATGAGAACAGTGCATGCAGGGGTGCAGAGATGTACACAAGTAATGAGTGTGCCAGAGCCAAAAGGGGGGTCATCCATGTTTCTCCTTTACCAGTCCTCCTTCCTCTTGTTACACACAGTTCCCTAAACATACTTTCTAAGGAGCAAGAATGTAGTGCTAGTCAGAATCTTTCTTATTAAGGATCAAGGCAACTGCAGGGGGAGTGGATCAAAGGAAGGGGCTTCATTTTGTCCCCCATACCATTCTCCTGGTCTGCGTCCCCCTTAAGCTGCCCTAAAGGACAAGGCACCAGTTCATTTTGCCTGCTAGGAGCTGATGACACCAAATATTGTTCAAGTCACCCCTCAAGTCACTTTTATCGTTGCAACAACCCTGTGAGGTAGGTTAGATTGTGACTGGCCCAGGTCTTCATGGCTGAGTGTAAGATCCGAGTCCTAATTTCCCTTGGTCCTGACCTGACCATCTGCTCTACCCCGTTGTCTCTCAAGTCTAGGAGATTGGTCGATTGGTCGATTGGTCGAGACCTCTGTTGCACCTGAAGAGATGCCAGCAATGCTTTTCCTGCCCTTGCTGTAAGAGACAGTGAAAATCCCTGATATTGACAAGTGTTGATAGGCTGATTTCTGTGGGTGACGGCAAGTGCAAGTGTTTGAAGTAGGCAGAATTTTGCACACACGTGTATGGTGGGGGTGCATTTTCACTAGGTTAGGGACTGGTTTGCAGAGCCGTACATAGCAACCTTTGCCCTTCCTTGTGATTTGCTGGAGCACAGGATAAGCTATATAGAATAAATGTATATAGGCAATTGGTTTGGTTTTTTTTAGATTAGATCAGCCTTCCTCAACCTTCCTCAATGTGTCCAACCTTCCTTTTAAAATATTCTGGAGTGCAGCTCCTGTCAACCTCAGCTGGCATAGCCAATGGTCAAGAATACTGGAAATTTTGATCCAAAACATCTAGTTAGAGAAGACTGGCTTAGACAAATTTATGGATGATAGGTCAGTCTATGTCTATTAGACATGATGGCTAAACCTAATGGAGAGAGGAAAAAATACCTCTGAACACCAGAAACAACAGCCCTACTTGTAGCTTCCAGAGGAACCTGCTTGGTTACTTTTTGTTGTTATTAGTTGCGAAGTTGTGTCCGACCCATCGCGACCCCATGGACAACATTCCTCCAGGCCTTCCTGTCCTCCACCATCTCCCGGAGTCCACTCAAGCTCACACTGACTGCTTCAGTGACTCCAACCAGCCACCTCATTCTCTGCCGTCCCCTTCTTCTTTTGCCATCTTTTGTTCCCAGCATTAGGCTCTTCTCCAGGGAGTCCTTCCTTCTCATTAGGTGGCCAAAGTATTTGAGTTTCATCTTCAGGATCTGGCCTTCTAAAGAGCAGTCAGGTTACTTTTAGGGATTATTATTAAATTTCTATACCACTACTTAGTCATAAAATGACAGTTTACAAAATGCATAAATGCAATATACAGAATACAATAAGATACAGTGTAAAACAAGGTACAAGAGTTCAAAACAAGACAAAATCAGAACAGCTAGATGAGGCAATAAACACAATTTACAGAATTTAAAACATTTCTGAAGCAATAACAGCAATAGACAGAATCAAAGTTAGACAATTCATCATCATCGTATAGCCTACAACTACAAACCACCTACCCAACAGGCCAACGCTGGAGTCTCAGGCCCAACCAGGCACCAAACAGACATCAAACAGGCACCAATGGGCAGTGCCCTTTGGCCCAGGGCAGAAGGTTTCTGAGAAAGATGGCCAGCATGATGGGAGGGACACTCTCAGAGTAGCTGTAATCAAGTGACCACAGCTAATGTGTCACTGCTTTGCTGCTCCTCCCTCCGGCTCTCAGTGCTCAGTCAGCTCGGTCCCTGCCACAGACTGACCTGGGGCTGTGTCTCGGTGGTGCATGGGGTGATGATCGCTCAGGCTAGAATGCTGGACCTTGATGGAACCCGACCTGATGCAATGAAGCAGTCCATGTGCTCATTTTCATAATTTAAATAGGTTGCAGCATGTAGCTTTCTTGAGCCAGAATTCAAACACATGGTCATAGAGTGTTTTGTTTGTTTAAAGCACAACACAGGGTTGTGTACCAGCTTTGCCTACTGACAAGGGGTCAGATCCAGATTCAGACCAAACCCATTGGAACCAACAGGACAAGGTAGTCAGGACTAATGCAATTGTGTGATTTTAATGGGTCTGCTCAAAGTAGGACTGTCTGGATTCAGCCCAATGCAACGCAAACAGCCGTACAATGGTACTGTGTCATGGGTGAAGATCTTGTGAGAATTTTCAGAGTTGACTCGTTTCTCTGCCCCTTCTCAGGCCCCGCGTGACGATGACGCCAGGCCACTGCTCCCCGAACCTGATGTCCTGGAAATCACCTTCCCTCAAGGCTGCGCCCAGCTCGCCAAACTCGATGAGGATGAACTGTGACTCTTGGACTGTGGGGCAGCCCCTGTGAAGCCCAGGAACTTAGACTGGGGAAGATCCAAGTGGCTCTTCCCTCCTTTTCTGCACGCTCTCCTTCTGGTGGCTCAGAGAGAGAGAGAGGCTGTGGCGGCGGCGGCGGCACCAGGATGAAAGCACGTGCTGCTGTCTGATCCTGCTCCTGAAGGCCAGATGTCCCCTTCCTATATTGGGGTTCGGGAACCCCACATTGGGACTAGGGAATGCTGCCGGAGGCCCTTCCCTCTCCCCCAAACCCTCGTATATGCATGCTGTGGGGTTCTAGAGGGCTTCAGGTCAGGGCTGTCAGACAAGGCGGTTGGATTGCGTGACATGAGAATTTTATTTTGTTTGTTGTAATAATAAAGATTTTAGTTAAAACAAACACAGAGATCCAGGTCTTTGCGTCATCCAAGACTGGCAAATTGCACAGGCACCAGTCACAATGCATTTACATGGCTCAGTCTTAGGAGCTTCTCTTCCGTAACTAGCTTGTGCGCTGTGTGTTAGATCCCTCTCCTTGTTTCCATTTCTGTGTTGTTTAGCATAAAACTAAACCCCTCATAACTCCTTATAGGGCTGTCTGTCTGTGCTATGAATGTGTTCCACCATTCGCCCTACTCCCCCACTCACTTAATCTAAGCTTTAAGAGACAGCATTTTACAACATGTAACCAAGAGCCTCTGACGGATTGTCTCTGTCCCAATCACCGCCATGTATCATACTCCATGAAGATCCTGCACACTCGCACACCACCTTCACTGCACTACAAGAGCACTCTGACATCCCGCCACAATTAAGGATGCCCGTGCAGGGTGGAAAGCCCATTTCATCAGCCCTGCCCCTGTGGTTCTTGTATGTGTCCAAGAATGTGCAGAACGGATATACAGTGCTCGTGTGTGTGTGTGTGTGTGAGAGAGAGAGAAAAGGGGGGCACTTTTATTAGCAGGAGAGATTCCACGAGTCTCTCCTTCTACCCCATCTTATTTTTAAAAATGAGGATAGCTAGATGGTCACAATTTACTTTTGAACTCAGTTACAGAAAGAACCTGAGTTAAATTTTAAGGTGCACACATGGCACTGCGTGGTGTGTATGCCACCCTCACAGATGTACACAGCTGGTTTTCCTTGCATTTAAATCCTGAGGCAATGCCCACAGTCCTTTCTCAACTGCTGCTGCTTTATTTACCCTGGAGTAACTCAGAGGTTCTAAATATGTACTACAATATGGCACCGAGCATATATTAATTTAATAGATTTATATGTTGCTCTAATCACCCATATCTGGACTCTCTGCATATTGCTCTGTGTGTGTGTGTGCACACGCACCCAACATATGCCCAGCTTTTGAATTTGTGCTAATTGATGAACCTGTGGGTGCACAACTGCCTGTATGTAATTATTATTATAGCATTATCAGTATTATTAATTAGATCTGTGCCTGCCCCCAAACACTTCATGGAATACAAGGGAAGGACGTATATTTCAACAGTGATTAGAGCAAGTTACTTACATAGGTGAAAGTGAGAGGAAGGAAAAGATTAGCAAGTGGAGCTGTGTCTCTTTGCAGGCACAGTTTAAGCAAGCATGGCTGCTGCTCTGCATGCACAAACACCCCACTCTGGAAGTAATTGGCAGGGGCACAGGTGGGTCTCATGCTTGTGCATCCAAGTCATAATTCACTTGATGATCCAGGGACCTCATAAGAGAATAGTACCCTGTTTTGGGGTGGAAGCTTAAACCAAGCCAAAGCCTGTTTTTGGTTAATCCAGAAGACACTACACACAAACTCTGTTATGCTGTGAAATCATAAGGAGTGGACATTTTTGAAGCAGCAATGCAGTAATTCACAGGATAAGAAATGCTGAGCCAGAGAATTTGCTTGTACTTATATGGAGGACAGGGAGGCATGCAAATGGCTAATAGCCCCGCCTACGAATTTATCTGACACAAATAGAGTTGTTTGCTTGGTTCCAAGATCTAGTAGCCACTCCAGACCAGTTTTTGTTTGTTGATTGCATTTATATGTCACCTTTCCTCCAAGGAACCCAAAGCAGTGCACATTTTATTTATTATATTTCTATCCTGCCTTTCTTCCTTTCAAAGATTAGAGGAGCAGGAGGAGAGGAAGAATCTACATGAAGAAGTAAAGTTGGCCTGCCCCTTGTTGAGCTGACAGCTGAAAGGGACTAGAGTGAATTCTTGTTGCTGAAAAGCTGAGAAGGAAGAAATCAGTTCCAGGGCTGCTGGTAAAAACTGTAGCTACTTGAGATAGTAGTCAGAAAACAGGTGGTATTGCTAGAGTGCAGCCCAGTTTTCACTAGCCACTTTGCCTTTGGAAGGAGATGCTTGCTGGCTAGGACAAGGGCAAAGTCTGTATCTGCTGGGATACATTTAGACAGAAGGGAGAAAAGCAGCTATGAGGCTTTCTTTTAACCCATATGGTCAATTGTTCGTCCTTAAATTTTTGTTTTAGTAAATCAGGTGTATTAGAATGACAAAAAAGTCATGAATTCCAGGCTTCTAGTGCAAAACCAGGCTCTCTGCAGTGCTGGTCTGTACTAACAATACACTGCTGCTACTACCCATGGTGTCTTTGCTGGCTTGACATAACTCCTGCACCACCTGTTGACATGCCACTCACATCTCAGATCTCAGTGGCATCTGCTGAGGAACCTCTAGTGTTTGCTGCTACCAGTACAACCGTTTCTGCTGTACCAGCAGTACTCTCAAACATCTCTGTCCCTGCAAACCATCAGTTTTTATTTATTTCATTTTTACAGTGACATCCGATAGTCCCAAAAGGAGAGTGGAGATGCCAACCACATCTGTGGAGTGTCACACAGGTTTCCTCTATGGAAAAAGCAGCATCCGGAGCCAATGAAAAAGCAACAGACAAGGTGGCGCTCTTCTCCTTGACATTTATGGACAATGCAAAGAAACTGTCTCCAGGTGTGTGGTTGTTTTCTCTAAGGGTCATTGTAAGTTCGCACCTGTTTTTTTCCCCCCTGTAGCAGTGTAGAACAGGTACACAGGACTGAAATGGACTTTCAATATGTGACCTCTTATGCCCACAAAGAAAGTATATAGTGCATTGTAGAAAGTAACAAAGACAGTGTCACCAAGGAATTGTCTTGACGCTGCATTGGTGCTGTCCCTGAGGTGGACTGAACCAGACGTGACAGCATCTATGTGATTGTGGAAGTCATTACAAAACCTGAAGAGGAAAAGGAGTGCTAGATGCAGTTGAAGAAGCCTGTGGTAAGACATGTGTGCCTACAGCAGCCAGGCATGTCTTCATGCATTCATCCTCTTCAGTCACAGGTGGAGCGTCCGCCATAGGTGAGAAGTCTGGTTTGTGGACTCCTTTGCAACCCAAAATGAGGGATAATAATTGAAAATCTTTGTGCCTCTGCTGAAATGCTAGTGGAGAGCTACAAATAACCGAGTTGAACACATGTTCTGGCAGTTTGTAAGGCTGAGCAAGGATTTCTACACATCAGGCTCAGATCCAGAGAACTTTGGGACATTGCAGAAGCCAGAAGCTGCTGTTAGCTTGTGCTCCCTAAGCTTTTTGAGGGCTGGTGAACAGAGTTTTCCTTCTCGCTACTTCGTTCAGTCCTAGTGTTTTGGCACTCTCCAGGCCTCTTGATGAGAAAACAGCACGTGGGTTTCTTGCATTCCACCTTGATGCAGATAAGCTCTTACTTTTGTCCTCCTTGGCTGCAGACCTTTACCATCTTCAGTAGGTACCAGATGCAGTAAACCTGGGAGCTGGTCAGGTACAGACCTTGACCTAGCAGAACGCTTGCTTGAATGCGATAGCATCCATGATGTTTGCAAGGTTACATTATCCTATTTGGTCATTTTTTTACACAATCCACAGAAATGTGGCAACACTCAAGGCATGTCTTCTAGCAATTAAGTCTCATAACCACAAGTGTTGCATTTTCACTTTGAAAGCCATAATCAGAAACAAACTCTCACCTGAATCAGAAAACGAATATATCTATCACAATATGCCACCCTTTGCTGAATGGGATCCCAAGGTATCAAGTGTGCCCATGCATAACTGAACAAGAGCACAAAACCAAAAAAGCTTCTAAAATAAGAGGAAAGATGTGGTTTTAAAACATATCTGCAAATGCCTTCAAGCAAGGTTCAGTGTGAGTTGTACAGTTATGGCAACACTGCTGTGTGTGTTTGTACTGCAATGCATCACTTGTATATTTGCATATGTAGTTGGTAGGTACATGAGTTAATCCATGCTTCTGACTAGTTAAGCAGTAGGTCCTAACAATATATAATAAGGTTATGAATATTTTGAAAAAAAAACCAGTAATAATCATTTAGATCTTGTTTATTACCTATTTAAGATGCTGTGCTGTTCCTTATTAAAGCCTCTATTCCTGACTGCAAAAATCTCAGTTTCACAAACAAAACGTGAGCAGCTGCACATTAGAATAAACCCTGTGGACAGCATGTCACCTGCGGAAGAGAAAGCGTCCATCAGGCTAGAACTGCTTTTTTCTGTTCCCTCAGTTTGTATAACGCATCCAGAACTATGGAGGGTCTGCAAAAGAATCAAGCTTGGCTCTTTCGTATAGCAAAGGCAATGCAGCCTATTTTAACAAAGGAGAACCTACTTAAAAGGGGGGTCCACTTCTATTCTGTATTAACAACATTCACAGGCCCACCACAACTATTGGCCTAAGTCTTATGATTGCAGTGACTTATTTCCCTCTTGTGAGTTGGGGTCACACGACCAGCAGTGGAAAAGAAGCCTGCCCGCCCCCACCAGTCACACACTGCATGATTTGCCTGATTTCCTCCACAGCTTCTAGTGTTGTCTGAACACGGTGTGGTGCAAGGCAAGGGGTGGCATCAAAACCACCCCAGAATCCTGCAGCAAGCCACGGGTTCTGGGGTGCTTTGAAGCTAGCATCACCACACAACGTATTTGGTTTGGACAACATGGGAAGCTGTGCATATCGCAGCTAATTTGGCAAATCACACATATTCTTGTGTTATGCAAATCTGGCCAGGGTGGCTTGTTGCTGTGGGTAGCATGTCCTCCAGAACCCATTGGCTGTTGCATGACATGATGAGCTATATTGTTGCAACATCTTGGGCAGCCAACTGGGATTGTGGCCTGTTTGGTGCTTGACAGCTCTGGGGATGGCATGGCTGCCCTGCCCTGGTTTTGCAGCCAAAGGAAGGCAGCAAAAGTGCACGGGGTCCCACTGAGCCACTATACTTGGGTGGTTGGCCTCACACAGCTTGGTAGATCACCTGTGCTCAAGCCAGGCATGCTGCAAGAACTGTATTCCCAAATGTTTGCAGTAGATGAGAGCAGAATTATTTTGGCTCCTGAGGGAGAAAATC